AGAAAGCAGTTAAAGAGACATGCACACATGGAACGGTTTTGTTAGTGATGCTCCAACACCCTTTTTTTTTTTGCATCACTGCTTCAAGACTAACAAGCTAGCACACAAGGGGTTACTGAGCAATAAGGGTTCATGGTCGAGCAGGTTTTTGAAATCAATCAGTTTCACGGACCGGACGGATCTCAATGAAAACAGGCCGTGGTGATGAGCGATGATGTTGCCATGACAACAGGCAGGCTGAGCGTGCAGCCTGGCTTTGGTATCTTCAGGCGTGCGGCAGGCGGCACCCAGACGGTTTGGGTTTTTAACCTCTTAAGTGGCAGAAAGCAAGCTGCAGTCTCAGATGGGATCATGGGAGGAAGGGGGGGATGCGTGGGTGAGGTGTGGTAAGGGGGGTTATAAAGTTGGGCATCAGTCAAAACCTCTGCCTCAGAGCACAGACATGGGAAATGAAAAAATGTGGTGGGTGTTATTTCTTCTCTTCTTTTTATTACCATCCAATCCAGCAATGGCAAACTACAGAGACACGAGAGGGACAAACAAACAGATTAACACATAGTAGAACGAACACACACGCACGCACGCACACACACACACTTTTTCCTTTGCAGAAACATAAGCACAAACAGAGGAAAATCAACCAGAAATTCTCACTCGTTCTTTTTCACTCAGACAAATGAACACACCATCAGCTGCTGTTAAAACACTCTGCATGCAGAGAGAGAGAGAGAGAGAGAGAGAGAGAGAGAGAGAGGAGAGAACAGGATGGCTACAACAATAGAAATAGCGTGGGGAGCCCAGAGAAACACGCCTGCTAACGCTGACTGCTGGCACATGAACACTCGTGGATGAGTTGGTTAAAGGGACAGATCAGACTTCGGGGTTTTCAGCTTTCTGACAGCCTCAGACAGTTGAGCTGACACTGAGTAATGATCTGATGTCAATTACTGTGCTGTTTAGGAGGCTCCGATGTGGAGAATAGTCAAATGAGTTGTCATTTAATTACTGTAAACACATGAGACCATGATGGAGAGGACTGTCTCACTCCACATTTCCCATAAATCATGTTACCAACGTTGCAAAGAGGAAATATTTGCTTGGCCAACTTTAAGTGCACTGTGTTTAAAGAGAGGGTTGGCAATCCTGCTAGCAAGAGCAGGCTACACTTTGAAATTATGCAGCAGAGATGTCCCACCACCTCCATGCTACACCCGACTGAAGACTCTGGTCATGTCCAGTGAGAGTAAAGGTGTGCACAGACAGGCAGGTCGGTCAGTCACAGACAGGTACGAGAGTGAATCTGTTCATTCAGTCTGAATTAAATGATTGGTCGTGTTTATCACAGTCCTGCGGGAGCCCCATACCCCCCGACACACTTTTCAGGAAGAACAGCTTATTTATTTAAAGAGGTTTAGAGGCAGTAACGCTTTGCAGTGTCTGAAAGTTTTGCACATCTTAACCATTTAATCGAACTTGATCATCAAAAAGTTGAAACTGATCATACAAATGAAGTCAGCCTAGTAGTAGTTGGCCTACTTTATATTAGACTAACACAACCAACCTGGTGTCTTCAGCACATGCTGTAAACATGTATGTGGTATAATGATTTAGAGCCTCTTTGCAAATGCTGATTGATTGCCATGTAATGATCAGTGTCTAGAGGATATGTATGATCCCTCCAGCCATTTTTTTATTTTTTATTTACCACTATGGGGTAATGTAATTTCTGCAGTTAAAGAGCACTTAACAGCTAATGCCGTCAGCCCCGTGATGTCAGGGTCAAGGGTGAGTAAGAGGGCTACGATTTCTGCTGGAACAGGCCGACGCAATGAAATCACACCTTTCATTTCCATGGAGGATAATTTCACATTACTCTCTCCTAACGCCTTGTCAGGGGGCGGATTAGTGCCCTCAAGGGCCTGCTTTTAAACACACACGCACGCCATAACTTCTTTGTTTCGTTCACTCACAGAGCCTTTATCCATCTATGGGTTGCGTATTAAAAGGTTAATTAAAAGCAAGTGGCCAAAGCGGGGAGATACGTGTACCAGATATAATTTAAATGAAAATATTCAGCTCCATTAACTCTTTTCTAGCGGTGCTAAACTAACTCAGCACTGTTACATCAGTGCTTCATCCTCTATCAACAGTTTAAGAAATAATAAGTGACATTTAGTGGAAAAGTACAGGAAGCAACTGAACTTAATGGTCATTTGAGTCTCCATTTAAACATACTGATTGAAATGCAAGCTTTTGTAAGATCTTAATTGAATTTATTAAATAATAAATATTGACAGCGTGAGCTGTGGAAATGTTCATCTGTGTTTAGAATAAGTTGCACAAAACAACACTGATTGAGAGTATCTTCTTATCATGTATCAATATTCCTTTTGCACATTATGACAAATCTCAGCCCTCATCCTCTCTGAGACCTTTCTGATGGATTGTGAGGAGGAGCCAATACCACCCTTACCTCCGCACACAGACACACACACACCAGCCCCTCCCTCTCTTTAAAAATGTCGATGGGAGACAGACTTCATTTGGGCGACAGAGAAAACAATTAAATACAGTCACCAAAAAATCTGGGAATTATCCAAGTGTGTTTTTTCATGACTTGCACCAAAATCTTCTAATAGTTTTGTCCTTTTTCAATGGGGTAAATTTCACTTCTTCAAGAAATATAGCCTACTATTAAATATGTTTGTCTTACCTCACAATATTTAAAAAACTATCTGATGGGATGTTTCTTTGAAACAGAGGTAAAAATCTTTGTTGGAAACTGATGTGTGAAACAGTGAAAGGTTTTCACACTGTGATTAGATATTTACATTTCTATTGTAAGACATGAGCATGGGAGAGGAAAACAGGTGTCGCAGCTCTGCCTTCTTCAGTGTGCAACAATTGGGGGAATGTTAAAAAACTCGAACAATTGAAGTGCAGGGAAAACTTGTTCATGCTTTAAAGTTCAATTAAATTACACGTAGTGTTAAATTAAATCACAGATACTGCTTAATTTCACCAAACTAATTTTAAAAAATATAATCGTTCATACAATCACTTGGAGACTGAATGAAGAGGAAGAATAATATAATCACACAACAAATAAAAACCAATCCGGGTTCTTTTCCCTCTTTTCAGTTCCTAAGGTATAGCAATGTCCAGTATTGAACAGCTAACAAACAGATTTTGCTTTGACAATTGAAAAATTATGAAATGATGAGAGCTGATATGTAAATTTCATCAATGGGGCACTATATTTCAAACTAATTCAGGACAAATCAAGACTAACATTTTGTAAAGTTCACTACAGCAGCAATGGTTTTCTCCTTCACCTAAATGCTTGCAGGCTTAAGGAGCACACTGCAAGGTATTCTAACTGATATGTGTGCTTATTTAACACAGTGCGTTGCCAGGTAACACTGCTATGTATTGTAGAAAATTTTAATCCAGGCCAAACTTTTTGGTCACGCCACCCTGTGTTTGTTTGCTGAAGCCCTCTGCCTGCCTTTCAGCAGCAGTGTCATGGCTGGTGCAGAAAATGCTGCTAATTATCAGCCTGACCTTCAGTGAAGTGTTTCAGTGTCCTTTTGGGCTCGAAATGCCTTTTTAGTGACGTTAAATGATAAAAAATTAATCAGAGGGAATCAAAATTAAATAATTACATCCATATACATGACTACAGTATATAAATATATGCTATAATAAGTCAAATGTCAAATTCTAACTGGTTCTTTTTGGGTATGGTTGATAGTTTCATTACCTAGTTGAGATAGCGCATAAAACATAAGCAAGAGATTTCTTCTTGTGAGCGCTCATCAGTCAGACAAATAAAGTCAGACAATGAAATGAAATTAATCTCAACATTTTAGCTACAACATTTGTGGTTGCATCAGCTGCTGTAATGACGCACTACCTGTGACATAATGAAGGCATTTAGGGAAGCTGTTTTACATTCATTTTGATTTACACAACATCACTCCTATAAACACGTCAGCCTGCCGATGAGGTAATGATTTCCTGTCCATTACCCAGAATTCACGACCATCGTTAATAAGAGGTGGAATCTACCATGAAAGGTGATTCAATCGGTAGCTTTCTTTGATTTACTGATTATTCAATATCATTTTCCAAAAACTTCTGATGAGCAACTAGTATGGATTTAGAACATCTGATGGTTCTCTCATGTTTTTAACATCATGTTGTTTAAGATTCAAAATCCAAGAAATACATGAGTTTTCTTAAGTGGGGTGTCACATCTCATCATCATGCATGCTTTTGAACTGCACACCAGCCAGAAAACAACATAAAGATGTTCAAAAACAAATGACAGATGCCACATGGAGCTGCACTAATTTTGGAATAAAGCCCCACACATTACTTTTAGGTTCATCAGACACTGAGCGATGCAGAGATGAGAGGTAGATGACATTTCTAGAGCTGTAACCCAATAAACAGTCTCTGCGAGAGGAAAACTGCTGGAAGACAGATTTAGGATGCATGGTTGAAATAAACTAAATCAGACTTCAACAAATGTAGGCTATAGCTTCCGTTTTGGCACAGGCCACACACCTACAATGCATCTCTATGAATATCCACCCTGACAGAGTGTTAACACGTTGTTTGCTTATAGGACAAAAGAAAAAAAAAAATTTAGTGGTGAAGACATTTGTTCTAAAATCAGGCTCTTAAAAAGTGTCACTATCTTTAATGAGTCAAATTAGGGCAGATTACTCCACCAGGAGTCAATATAATTCAAACTAAGTGAAAAGAAGTGATGTCACACCACTGCAAGACCTCTCACCTTAGACAAACGCTAATTCAGGACTGGACTTGTACTGACTTTCTCTACACTTCATGGAGGATTTGGGGGAAATAACTTGTTGAAATGTTGTGTATGGTGTGAGCTGTGGTGTTTCTGTGCACTCAAAGGAGGACGCGTGAACGAGGGGGTTACTGTGTTGGGTTGGTGAGCCCCAGACGCAGCGGTGCGCCCTTACCCTCGCCGCCCTGGAGGAGTAGGGATCCTCGAATAGATTCCAGATCACCGGCTGCCACTTCCTCCACAGGCTGACGTTACCGTCGGCATCCACGTCCTCAATGCCGAGCCTCTTTCCTATATCGTCGTCCTCGTCCCCGTTGTCCACGTTGAGCTCGAACACGTCCAGAGCCTCCTCCGCGTCCCGGTGCTGCCGGTATGTCATCCAGCAGCAGGGCTCCACGTCCGTCTCATCGATGCCCCAGAAGGAGAGCTCCTCCTCGAACAGCGGTCCGCACACATCCGCCGGGCAGTGGAGCTTCCCGGTGCGGTAGTAGTTGAGCACGTAGGCGAACACGCCCGGGTGGCGGTCGAAGAAGTACTCGTTGGTCCGCGCGTTGTACTCGATGAAGCCGGGGACTTGTTGCAGCTGATCCAGCACGGAGTCGATGTCCGAGTCGGAGGCGAGCAGCGCCAGTCGCGTCCCCGGCAGGGTCTTCAGGGTGGTCTTGTAGGTTTCGTGCCTGGTGCCCCCGACGTTGAGGATTATCCTCTCGTTGTCGTCAAACTTGCCCATCGCTCTGTTTCAGACATGACTTGATGTAAAGCGGGGGAAGTTGGCGAGTGCAGTCCGGAGGTAGCAGCGAGCCCGACGCGCGCACACACCCACAGTCCTGTTCAGAGGAGCTCCGGGATTTTGGCCGTGGTGCGCAGCATCCTCGACTCCACTCATCCGCAGCTTTCGTGGCTCTTCTGTGCTGCGAGGAGGGTTGCCATCGCGTTTGGGGAGATTTCAGGGAGGTGCGGTGTCGTCGTTTTGCTGTGCCACTATCCGCTCAGACAGTCAGCGCTCACAGTGTTGAATGATCTCAACCGGTGGCTCCAACCAGACTGCGCTGATGTTGGTGCTGCCGTTGCGCGCCTCCTGAGTCCCTGCCCTCTCCAAGACGCACAGCCGCTCGTCAGCGTCGGGATCGTTACTCACAATATATAGCAATCACTCAAAAATAATTAAACTAAGCCAATATCTGCTTCGGGTATTACTACCTGGAACAAGTCATCCATTGCGCGTAACTTCAGTTCCATCCAGTTTATTTTGCTCTAGAAATTCGGGGACATGAATCAGCGCTCACCTCCAGAGCTGCTGCCCCTGTTTACCTCGACAGAACAAAGTGATACAATCATCGGTTCTGGATGCAGAAGAAAGAATTAATAACAACTCATCTAGTTAGTGATACCAAAAATAACTTCTTATTGTGACCCAAGCCATTAATCCTTCTGAAGTATAGCTCCAAGCATCATTTGTCTATTTTCATTCTTAAATTGCTCCAGTATGATCAGTGGGGGAAGAAATATATTCAGCTCTAAGTACTAATTACACCATAATAAATAAAAGTCATGCAAAACCTTACTTAACTGAAAGTAGGCAAGCACTATCGTAAAAGTAAAAAAACCAAAAAGTTCTTAGTAAAATCTAAGAAGTATACAAAGTTGCATAAATGCCAATAATACTAATGTAAAGTACCTCAAATGTGTACTTGATCAGAGTGAGAACTGTCCACCACTGGTTATGGTTCCTGTCATTACTGGAGTAGATTTGCTCTTATCTATAAGCTTTCACATGTCTAACAGAAGAATGAGGTAACAGGACAACCGAGAACCTTAACATCCTCGTTATTCATGGGCAATAACGTGAATGACTAAAACAGAGGTTTAATTTCACTGACTCATACAGTAGAAGCTTTTATAGAAAGTGCTTTATAAATGAGATACACAAAATCTTTGGGTCTCTGCATCTACACTTTAGTGACTTTAAAGTCAAACCTTTTAACCCGGCATGAGGCAGGTGTCCCTGAATGAGTGCAAATCTGAGCCTCGGATTTTATTGGGTAATAGCAGCGGTGTTCATAAAGCTGTAACGATGCTTTTAGGGGAGGGAGTAGTTTCAGATCCACTGTAAGTAAAGCAATTGAAATTAAATTTTAAATTTGATTGCAATAAGTTCAATAATACTAGAACACTGCAGTTGGCATGAAGTAATAGTGAGAAGTGATAAATGTGCTACTTCAGTGGATTTTTAGGGGCTGATATATATATATATGCCAAACAAACCACTCCACAGTCCGACTCCACACCACTGTCTGCTCAGCTGTGATAGCACTCTGCGCTCAGAGCACAGCAACGCCCCTCATTTCCCAAGAGGCACTTCTGAGAAGTTTAATTTGCCGTTTTACGACGCAAACTGCAAATGTTACTTTTATAAGCATTTGTAACGCGTCTGTTCAGGAGAAAATTGTGGTTTATGTTCATAACTGTCATTTTTGTGCTGTTTTATAACCATACGTGACATGGCAGTTATATTTATTCACTCAAGATGAAATAGCAGTAGATTTCCTTATAATTAGAACTTACTTATTTAAAGAAGAAATAAAGCCTCCACTGCTATTAGAGCCAATATTTAGAAATGAATATATCAGCAGTCCTTGGCAAAATTGTAGCCAAAGTCAATTCTCACCTACAGTATATGACTCCAAGATGCAACCGGGCGGTTATATGGGCGTTCCAGTAAATCAGTCAGGCTTTATTCTGCCTGAACTAGTGCTCCATAAATAGAAAGAGTAGTAGAAGCAATTATAGTAGAGGCCAGAGCAACAGTTACAGTAAAGACAGGTAAGTGCCTTAGAAATTGTTTAGTGACAGTTTAGTGGCATGCAAGGTCTAATAAACCTGTCAAAGGTGACTCTAGGCCAAAAATGAGCTGTGGGCTCCTTTTGACCCCCATTCTTTTCACACTAGGCATAGCATAGTATGCTATCTTGCAATAAAGAGTCTGAACACCTGTTTTCTAAATCAGATTGTGAAATCATTTTAATTCGATAATTGCTGTTTTTATTTGCTCAGCTCACCGGATAGGACTCAACTGTCTAATCATCACTGACCATATTAGCTACTTTCTGAGCCCTGAGGTTTGCTTTGTTTTAGTCTGCAGTAAACTGTGCACAGGAACGCACTCACACACATTTATTTTGGGACTGCACAATGTAAACACAATATGAACCAAAATTATAAAGCAGGCCTGACTACAAGACATTAAAAGTACTTGAGATGCCCTCATCATTTGAGCCAATATTGCACTTTAATCATGTGTATTACCAAACACATTCACACAAAGTGAAGTTATGACAAAGTTAAAGCCCCACGTGTCCTTGGGCCTTTGTGGCAACAGAGGATCAGAGGCGACAGAGTACTTTGGTGGTTAGCATTTATAGCAGCAGTAGTTACACTAAACACATAATATACAGGGTTTTTCCTGCATAGAGAATTGCGAGGGAGCCACCTCCGTCCAATTTTGTGCCACCTCTACCTCCTGACAAAATTCTAGTACAGTAGAAGAGGCAGTAATAGTACGGTAGTACCAGAGACATGCACTGAACTCTGGATAATCTCCTGAAATTATCTGGAGGGGCTGTATGTGGGAACTCAAATGTCCGATGTCAGTGCTGCAGACATTCTCCAGAGTGTCTCCTGCTTGCCCCCTTGTAAAAACTCTGGACAATGTCCAAGTGAGCCCATGTGAGAACACAGCAGAATGGGCATGTGGATGACGTTTCTTACACATGACATACGCAAAATTGAAAGAAACAAGTGCATGTAGAAGATAGCAAAGAAAATTTCAACTTCGAGAAACAGGATTCGAGAGCTTTTGGTGATAAAGGCACAGTGCCTTGATGTGCTGTAAACTAAAACATGTGATCTCTGGAGCGAAATGTATACGTGACGTGCTGCTTCCTGCTCCACTCCTCACCTGAACACTCTTGAGACTTGATTTGTGAACGCATTTGACTGAGTAACTCCTGCTGCGTTCTTCAATTGTACAGACATTCTCAAGAGTTCTAGACACACAACTAATAGTAGCATTCGTAGTAGTATTAGTAAGACTAATAATAAAGGCAATGGCACATGTGGTTAAGTCAGTAATGCTCAAAATGGTACATGAGTCATTGATACCAGAATTATTAGGCACAATCTCAGAAGTAGAGGCCACTGTAATAACAGCACTGTGTGCAGAATAGTCGCAGGGACATGAGGATCATTATGTAGGAACCACCGACATGTGAAGTTTTTATAGCCCTGACAATGATGGTGCAGACAATAGTTCTCTACCCCTTCAGAATAAGGCTGTTTGCATCAATGGTGTACATCAGTGACAACCGAGTTTCATTCCATCTCTGCACTCTGAATCTTAACAAGTTTGTAGATAAGAGGAGAGAAGCAGCTGTGTAGCAGAAGGCCTGTCAGCTGTCAGTCTGTGCTCTACAGTGCACGAGGAGGGGAGAGTGACATCTTTAGGGAGTCGGAGCACAGCTCAATCAACGAGGAGACACGGCAGGCAGCGCTCCTATAATTACATGCATCATTATTCCCTGATGTAAGGCTGCTTTGTAAAACTGTAACCTCTGAGTAACCTAATTACTTATTAACTTTCTTGATCGAATCTGCTGAGGAAGGGGATTTTTTTTATTAAATCTAACATCCCAGTTTTAGAAAAAGGCAAATTCAAATAATATATATCTCACACTTCTGCAGCGCTGTCAAGCTGAGAATTTTTAGAACAAGGTTTCTAAGCAATGAAGAATATCAATGTATCTGTCTCAAAGCAATTTCCTTCAAAACATGCACACCAACAAAGAAGTTGACCCCATTTAAAATAGCCAAACAATTTCCAAAATAAAAAGTAGGGGACTGGGACAATACTCTCTCTTGAATCACACCCCATGTTTGCATTATTTTCAAGGAATTTGACAACTAAAATATTGATACTTGGTGTCTGAATCAATACACACAAGATATCACAATTAAATGTTGTATACATTTTTCCCCACCTCTAATAGAAGCCAGAGTAAAGAGGGGAAATAGGTGAAATTCAAACCATATAAAGCTTCACATGTTGAGCCAATATTTGTTTTTCATGGACAGGAGTTTACACCATTCATACATCCATACACTACAATCTATTGATATGATCTGCATTCACTCCTGTGTCAAATGACTGCAGTAGACACAGGAGCGAATGCAGATTATATCAATTTCAGACAAATGAGTGATGCACTGAAAAAGAGGCAACGTGCGTCCAGCAGGTGGAGTGCCCATTTCCCAGAGGGACCTGCGACAATATCCCTTAGGACTCTTTAACATTCACTTTCTATTACATTTTCAGTGTGGGCAGCCGAGTTCTTAATGGAAATTCTCATCGATCTCCAGCTGAGGTCAGTTTAGGTCGTGAATTTTTGGAAAAACATCTACTGTGATAACATTACTCATTCACCACACACTGCTGCTTCAATTTAAAAAGAACAAGCTGGTGAATTCAGAATACTGGGATGCTAAATCCCTTTAATGCCTTACTAATGAGGCTATTCATCACAGAAGATGAAGTATTAGGGACTATAGTGGGTCAAGACGGTCCATAAACAGCTCTCCCTGTTCTGAACAATACAGGAAGAAAATAGCATCCAAAGTCCCCCCTCCCCTTCTCCCTCCCTGCAATCTTTACTAAAAATAGAGCAGCCAGATCTGCTGATCTTTATCAGCAACTCCAAAAAAAAAAGTAAGCCTATTTGGAAGCCAAGGTCCTTGGCTGGTCCATTTTCCCTAAGTAGAACCACAGAAGCAATCCCAGAGGGGACTGAAGGCTAGACAGGCAGCCTTGGCTGATTTCACTGTAGCTTCATAATAACATCAATCAGAAATGCAAGAATGGGGAATGATACAATTACACTCAGTGCTTTCTGTGTCGAGGATTTCGTGAAGAGAAGAGTTGGTTCAAGCCGAGCATCTTATTTCAAACTATGTCAATCTAGGCCACAGGAGGG